CGGAAGTCGCCTCGCGCTGGCTCGGCGGCCCTCGTCCCCTACGTGTCCTTTGTCCTTCCGGCGCCGGGACGGACCCGCGCCCCGGTGCCACCCGTAGCGGCCCGCCCCGCGGCCGTTTAGCCTCGCGCCGGCCCTGGCGCTTGCTGCTCCCACGCCCACACCGCCTCCCCGCTTTCACCGCGTGGCTTCAAAGTAGCACCGCTCCGCCCGCCTGGAGCGGACCGGGGACAAGATGGAGGCGCAGCTCGTGCAGCTCTCGGACGAGCTGCGCTGTGGCCCCGCGCGCCGGGCCCGCGTCGCCGCCGAGCTTCGGTTCCGCGGGCTCGGCCCTCTCGGTAGCCGAGCGTCTTCCCACCCTGCTGCGCGCGTCCGCGGTGGTCGGGTCTCCCGTCCCGCTCGAGTGCGCGCCGCCGGGACGGAACGCGGCGTTTTGTATTTGTGTGCTTATACGCGACGTTTTTAAAGTCTCTCACTTACCACGAAATAAAAAAGCCCGGGCCCTGTGGTTCCATCCCGGGGCACCACAAAAACAAACAGAAATTTCTGTAGGATTTCTGGAAGTGGAAGGTTGAGCCAAAAGTACTACCAATTTACATTTCCCAAGAGTGTTGTATAAAGTGGTGTTTCCTCACCTTTCCAGGTGATATCCTGCCAGTTTTGTGTCCTCTGCTGAAATTCTTAGGCCAATTACGCCCTGAACTCAGTCTGGAAGGTATAATTTAAGGTAGTAGTATTCCATAAAGGAGGGAGGAGTTCTTCTGATGTACTTCCTAATTATGTTGTAAGAGAACTGGAAAAGTACCAGGTAAAATACCAGTAAGTCACCCTATTTTATTTTTTATTGTGATTGAAAAATCGCCAGGGCAGATTTAATCGGGGCCCATTTCATCTGAGTATTTTTGTATACGTTCATACTAAAATTTTTAATGTCACAAGGAATTGCATACTACTTGCCCGTTTTCTTTTGGTTTAAAGCTTATAGAGTGAAGAGTAGGACTTGCTTACCCTCACCCTTCCTGCTCCTTTGTCCAAGGTAAACACAACGAACAGTTTAATGTCTTTCCAAACTGTTTTCCTCTTTCTTCTTTTCCTTAGTTAAAAGTTACCATAAGAAAAAATTCATTTTGCAATTATTACAACAAGACCAGAGCCGGGCATGGTGGTGCACGCCTATGATCCCATCTACTGGGGAGGCTGAGGCAGGAGAGCGAATTGGAACTAGCCTGGGTTAGTAGTTTAAGGCCAGGCTGTCTTGCAGAAGTAGACTGTCTCAAAACAACCAGAAAGTAAAAAAATAAAAAATAGTTCTTTTTTACACACACACACACACACAGCTTCAGTGAGCAGCTTTGTGCACATGTGCAAGACTTTCAGAGGATGAGCGGTGGTGCTCTGTATAACGTGCGCCTAGCAAGCCTGGGGCCCTGTGGTTCCATCCCGGGGCACCACAAAAACAAACAAACAAAAATTTCTGTAAGACTTCTGGACGTGGAAGGCTGAGCCAAAAGTACTACCAATTTACGTTTCCCATCAGTGTTGTATAAAGTGGTTTTTTCCTCACCTTTCCAGAACTGCATATGATCATGTTTTATAATTTTTGCTGAATCTGGGGGTAAAAAATAATTTTTTTTTTTTTTTTTTTTTTAGCGGGGCGGCGGGTGGTGGTACCAGCAATCCAACTTAGATTTGTTCTTGCCAGGCAGAGTTTCTACTGCTGAGCTATATCCCCAGCTGCAATGCCTTACTGTTTTAAACTTTACTTATTACTACTAATTGTAGTAGGCTTGTGCATTCTTTCAAATGTTTACTGGTCCTTTGTCATAAGAATTAACAAACACGTAGGGGCTGGGGATTTAGCTCAGCGGCACAGCGCCTGCCTGGCAAGTGCAACGTCCTGAGTTCAATTCCCGGTACTGGAAGAAAACAAACAAACAAACAAACAACAACAAAAAAATAATTAACGAACACATAAAAGACAAAGTATATTATGTACAGGTACAAATTCCCTATGATGGATGTGATCATTGTCAATTTGAGGGACGTATTTTTTTTAGTTACACATACACTGTAAATGTAAATATTTGTTGGCTTTCCTGGAGAAAATAATTTCAAATATTGGACAAGGAGTTGTGCTAAAGTCCTTAAAGGATGATACAACAGCACACTTTCTTTGGTGCGCTCTGCAACCTTTTCTCTGAGCCGCTGGAAGGCACCCTCCCCTGGAACATTATCAAACTTTAAGATATGACATGATAAAATGATTTGTTTTGTTTGTTTGTTTTGGTACTGGGAATCAAACTCAAGACCTTGCACTTGCCAGGCAGGCACTGTGCCGCTGAGCTACAACGTAAAAGACAAAGTATATTATGGGTGTGGTGGCGCATGCCTGTAATCCCAGCACTGGGGAGGCTGAAGCAGGAGGATCATTATGAGATCGAGACCAGGCTGGGCTACAAAGTGAGCTCAAAGCCAGCCTGAACTGCATGGTGAGACCCTGTCTCAAAAAGACAAACCCCCCCCCCAAAACAAACAACAAACCAACCAACCAAACAACAACAACAAAAAAAAACAAGAAAATTCTACACCTTCAAATACATTCATTAAGAAATTAAGAAAGATGGAGACTAAGTGAATTAAGTAACTAATTGAAGAAGCTAAAAAGAGCCAGACATGGTGGTGCATGCCTATAATCCTAGCACTCAGGAGGCTGAGGAAGGAGGATTGCTATGAGTTCAAGGCCAGCCAGCCTGGGCTACATAGTGAGCTCCAGGGCAGCATAAACGGCAGAGTGAGTTTCAGAAAACAACAACAAAAACAGCAAAAAAACCCAAAGCACTTTCAGAGGTAAAGCGGTTCAACTGGAAGCAAATAAGCTGAATTGTGAAGTAAACTAGACAAATTTAAGAGGGATTAAATAAGCTAAAGATTAATTCCATAAGCCTTTGTGTCCTTCCTAACATTTTAACATACTACATGTACTATGTGTGTGTATGAATTAAAACATTTTTAATCTAGGTTATAAGCTCTGTGAATGGGGCTTTTCCTATTCAATAAAAGCCAATAAGTAAATAAATAAATAGATAAATAAATAAATAAATAAATAAAAGAGAAGCAGCAGAGAGGAGCGTTTGTCATCAGAGGCTTTCCATCGTCCACAGAAGAGTGAGGCAGGGATGCAGCCCCACGGGAAAGTGCTGCGTGTCTGCAGGAGGCCCTGGGCTCCCCGCCCCCGGCACCATGAAGCACAGGAAAGAGGCAGAGTAGACGACTTGTCTCTGTGGGTTCGGATGTTGACCTGGGCCTTAAAGTGCTAACTCACTCCATTGTATTCCCTTTTGTCTCTTCTGTTATTTAATTTGTTCCACTGTATTTGCAGTTGGGGCAAAGCAGGAGTTCAGCTTGCCTAAAAGCACTGAATGTATCCCATACATGTTTTTTTCTGAGACAGGGTCTCCCTATGCAGTTCAGGCTGGACTTGAGCTCACTGTAGCCCAGGCTGGTTTCGAGCTCAGAACGATCCTCCTGCTTCAGCTTCCCAAGAGCTGGGATTACAGGCATGTGCCACCATGCCTGGCTCTCCCATACATGTTTGAATCTATGATTTTAAAATTTTTATTTTATTCTTGTCACACAGTTGACTTGTGTCACATTTTTAAAACAGTGATAAAATATACCTTTATTTACTTTTTGAGTCAGAGGGTAAAAAAAAATATTGCTAAAGAAGATATCGGGCAAACAGAAAGTTGCTTTAGAAATCTAATTACCTTTGAGTTTATTTAAACTAGGAGGAAAGAGTCATAATGTTTTCATGCAAGAAATATCTGGTTTTCTAAATAACAGTTGTGGCAAACAGCAGAAAGAATTAAGGAATGTTGTTCTTGTGATCCATACAGAACACTACATTTTGGGTTGTACATTGTTGGGGACCACAGATTCACAGTGGCTAGTTTTACATACTTCCCTAAGGGAGGAACAGATGCTTGGGACTATTGGTTTCACCCTTTTGAGAGTGAAACCAATTAGGGGTGGGCAATCCTCTCCCACCTACTAAGACTAAGACTAAGACTACTAAGACTAAAGATGCTCCAGGGCAAGATCCTCATTAGTTTACAATTATCATCACTGGGCCGTGATATACCTCAGCCAAGCAGTGCCTGCCTGGCAAGCTCGAGGTCCTGAGTTCAATTCCCGGTACCCCCCACAAATCACCACCACCCTCTGAGTCATCTGATAATCCCTCTGATTATTGTGTACATCCAATAAATAGTTACTAGGCTGGGGTGTCATATTGACCTCTCAGCCCCCTTTTTATGCATTACTAAATTTGTTTCTGTTTTTCTTTTTTTTTTTTTTTTTTGGTTTTTGGTTTTTGGTTTTTCTCTGGTACTGGGAATCGAACTCACAAACGTGTGCTTGCTAGGCAACTGTTTTTTTCTTTATCCTTCACTGTATCCCTCACACAGGCTGCTGGGGATGGATCTTGACCAGGTCCCTGTTATTTGGTGCCTGAACAGGGACCACCTAAATTGAGGCCTGAGAGGGCAGATCCCCCTGAGTGGGAGACAGAAGACTCGAGACAGCAAGAAGACTCCACTGGATGAATCTGGGGACACCCAAGTGAAAGTGGAAGGTAAAGCACTAGGCACCATGGGAAGTTTTCAGTTAGCTGAGATAACGTGGCAGAATTTGTCAGTAGAAGAACAAAGATATTGCATTGTCACATATGTTGTTGAAGCGGGCAAGGGCCGGGGATATAGCTCAACGGCACAAGCACCTGCCTGGCAAGCATAAGGTCCTGAGTTAGATTTCTGGTACCAAAAAAAAAAAAAATGAAGCAGGCAGGAGCTCGAGTCAGCACCCTCAAATTGACAAGAATATTACAAGAAATTATTAAATATAATCCATAGTTTTCATAGGTGGGAACCTTGGATATTAAAAATTGGGATAGGTTGGGAAAAAATTTAAAGAGAGCTCATGGCAGAGGAGGAACTGTTTCTCCTGAGACCTTCTCAGCTTGGACCTTGGTAAAATCTGTTTTAGGTCTGTTAAGTACCTAGAAGTTGGTTTTAGAACAGGATAAGGGAGAGAAATATAAAGAAA